AACCTTTTCCAACCTTTTATTTTCAATATTTTGTCTCCATATTTCTAATATTTCTTTCCTCAGTGGCATTTAGTTAGATTTTGCTTTTTTATTCAGTCTCATAATCTTAAGGTTTTTATTTTAGGGTTTTCTTTTGGCAGTAGGCAGTACTGGGTTTGAACTCAGAACCTTGTGCTTGCTAGGCAGGTGCTCTGCCACGTGAGCCACATCAGCGCTTTTTTGCTTTAGCTATTTGTCAGATAGGGTCTCCTGCTTTTTGCCTGGGGCCACCCTTGGACCGCCCTCCTTTTACCTCCACCTCATGTGAGGCTGGGATTACAGATGTGTACACCACACCTGGCTTGTTTGTTGAGATAGGTTCTCACTAACCTTTCCAAGGCCTGACTAGCCTTGAAACTGTGATCCTCCCAGTCTCCACCTCCTCAGCACCTGGGATTACAGGTGTACACCACATGCCTGGGACTATCTTAGTTTTTTAATGTGATAATTTATTTATTAATATGAAATGGGATTTGCTGTCTACTGTGCTATTATTCATATTCTGTTTTATTTACCTGCTTTAAATCCCTCTTCTTTCTTATCTTTTCTTGGGTTAAATATTTTTATTGTTCCACTTCCACCCTGTATTGGCTTGTTAATTTTCCTTCGTTAGTCTCTTAGTGGTAAGTCTAATATGCAAAAACTAGCTTATTATTGTCCAACATAAGTTTTTTACTTTTAATAACTCCTGGACAGTACTAGTGCCTTACAATCTGAAAGCATTTTCTTCCTTCCACCTTTCATGCTGTTTCTATTATGTATTTTTACTATTAAATTCTACAAATATTTTTGGTCTCTGAAGACATTATAATTATTGTTTGTACAATCAGTAATATTATTATTTATCCACACATTAATTTTTTCCATTGCTTTTCAATCCTTCTTCCTTGTGGAAATTTCCATATTTCCATATGGTATTATTTTTCTTCCACCTGGAACACTCATGTTTTTCTTCTAATATGGGCCAATTGGTAACATAATCTCTGGTTTTGTTTGTATGGAAATATCTATTTCATGTTTACTTTTTAGAGATATTCTCTGTTTTCTGTTGAAATTCTGTTTGCATTGAATTTCTCTTTTTTAGTTTGGCAAATGAGGATCTTTCAGCACTTCAGATGCTATTTCATCACCTTTTAGTTTCCACTGTTTTTGTTGACAAGACACAGTATCTTATTTTCACTCCCTTAAGAGTAAAGCATCTTCTCAAGCAACTTTCAAGATCCTCTTTGGCTTTCAGTAATTTTATTATGATGTGCCTTAGTTGATTTTCTTTGTATTTATCTTGCTTGGAGTTTACAGTGCTTCTCAAATTTCTGCATTTCTCTTTTTAAATAATGTTTTGCTCCATTCCTTACCTCCTGTCACCCCATAACTCCAATCACATGTATATTTCACCATTTCATCATGTCCTCTCTGTCTCTCTTAAATGTTTTTCTCCATCTTCCGGGGTATCCTAATCAGTAGCCATAACTGATTGGCACAGACTGAGTAATTTATAAAGAATAGTTTATTCAGCTGGTTCTGGAGACTGGGAATTCCAAGAGCATGCCACCATCGTCTTTTTGGCACAGGGCTTTCCTGTGCAAGGGATTCCATGGTAAGACAGAACACACATGGTCACCTGGGTCTTTCCTCCTCTTCTTATAAAGCCACTAGTGCCGTCTTGGGCCCACCCTCACAACCTGATCTAATCCTACCTACCTCCCAAAGGCCCCACCTCCAAACACCTTTAACATATGAGTGAAGGAATTCAATTTCTGCCACATGAGCTTTGGGAGATACATCCAAACCATAGCACGTGGATATTTTCTGCTCTTGCATTTTTCTAGTTCAGTATTCCTCTCTTCTGCTTTGTTCAGTATGCTATTAAATCTGTTTGCTTCATAATTTCATTTATTCTGTTTTTCAGGTCTAGGATTTCCATTTGATCCTTTTCCAATTCTGTGTCACAATTCTCGATCTTACCTATTTTCTCAAACATTCTAATCAGTTGCTTTAAGTCCGTGTCTGACAACGCTGGTTTCTGTGTTCTATGGTTCTTTCTGTTGTTGGTTTTTCTCATTCAGTTTCTCAGTAGTCCTGGTATTTTATTGAATCTTTGACATTATGTGTGAAGGATACAGAGGCTCTGGATGCTTTTACTTTCCTTCCCCTCTGGTATTCCCCTCAGCTAGAGTACAAACAAACCATCTTAATGACATAATGGCTATAGATGGATCAAGGTGTTTATGAAGTTTTTTCAGCCTCTTCTTGGCAGGGTCCCAACTGAGAGCTACACATGTTTACTGTGACCTCGCATTCATGAAGGTCCTGAACTCCAATACTCAAAGACCAGAGAAAATTCTGCATTTCTGATAAATTTTCATCATTTTCCCTGGGAAGTTTAAGAAGTTATCACTTTCTTTGAGGACTAGACAGCTAAGTATTGGGAACCACTTTTCTGTATTTCCCTTCTCTCGCACATGTTAGACTATCAAGTCTGCCCTGGGTGGCATGCCTTTAAACAGATTTTTTAATTCATACTTTCTAGTTGTTTCCTGTACAAATTTGGTCTGCTACAGTCTACTCTGTTTTAGTCAGACATGAAAGTCAATCCTGACTATTTTGAGGTTTGATGATAGTCAGCCCTCTATATTTGCAGGTGGATTCCACCATCCATGGATCCTTTACTATGTAGTTAGGCCTATGGTGATCGTTGCTGTACTGAACTTGTTCTTGTCATCGTTCCCTAGACAATACAGTGAAACAACCATTTACATTGTTTAGATAACCCTAAGCAATTTAGGGATTATATGAAGTATGCAAGAGGATGTACCTAGGTTATATGCAAATATGATGCCATTTTATGTAAACAAGTTGAGCATGTGTGGATTTTGGTATCTGTGAGGAAGTGTAGAACCAAGATCCCATGTATATCAAGAGCCAACTGTACTGACATTTAACTTTGACGATTCTTTGTTTAGAGCAAGTACATATTATTCTGAGCTCAGAATTTATGCTTTAAAATGTACCTTTTTACCTCTGTCTTCCAGACAATTAAAGGGTGTTTATTTATTTGTTTTCATTGTTCTTTATGGAAGATTTTCTGGAGTGAGTGGGAAAGGGAAGTGAAGAAGAAGGCTTCTTCTTGATAGGATTTCCCAGGAATCTTGGCATCATCTGTGTTTAGTATCCAGGCCTTAGTGTTATCTTTTTTAGTAAAAAGTTTTAAATAGACTTAAGTTTAAAGATGGATCTTCACAAATATGTGTGGAAAAATAACATGCGATCAGGAACTCTCCTGATTAATTCCAGAATGCCCATGAACCCATGTGAGAAGGATGTTGAGTAAATGTTGAATTTTTGTTTGTGGATTAGAACTGTTTTGTCAAATAATTCATGGGGCCATAGCTACTCTTCCAGTAAGAATCCCATTTGTAAGTGAGCAAAATACTTCTTTCCCCACACTCACAACTCCTCCCTCCTGGACATACTGGCTGCAGCCTACAGATATAGCACTTTATTCCTAAGTTTCTGTTCTTACTTTAAACATCACCATGGTGCAGTAAAACATTACCATACGTTTGCAAACATCACTTCCTCACAACCAGTAGGCAGTCCTATGTTATGTACAGGCTATGTGGCAGCTTACCTTTTATTGTCTATCCGAATACTCAAATGAATATAAAACATAAAAATGTTGTTTGTATTTACTCTTGAGTTTTTTCCTATCAAGTGTTGACCTCTAGCTCGAATATTTTTTTTATTGTTGTTGTTTTGGTTTTTGGCTGTACTAGAGTAAGGCTTTAAGGTTCCTAGGTAGGCTTTCTACCACCTGAGCGAAGCCTCCAGCCCTTTGTTTTTTTTTTTTTTTTCCTCTGATTATTTCAGATATAGGGTCTTGCTTTTTGCTTAGGCTAGCTTAGATCAAGATCCTGTTTTTTAGGCTTCCTCCATAGCCAGAATGGTAGGCACACATCACCACACCTAAATTTTTCCATTATCTCACTAAGTTTTTTTGTCCTCACTGGCCTGGAACTGCAGCCCTCTTGATCTCAGCCTCCCAAGTAGCTAGGATTAGAGGTGTGAGCCTCCAGCATCTGGCTTAGTTTCAATGATCTTTTAAGGCCACATCTGGTTTGTGTTAAAGACGGTATCACTAGAATAGGCAAGATTCTTTATATTTCCTTATCCATCAGCATAGTGTAGTCTATATTAGATTTTTTGAGGCATAGAAAGTCAGATAACTTCTGTGTAATCACAAGGAAAATAAGCATTGTACTCAGAATCCCAGCCTAGACTCATGACCTCTGAGATCAAGCTCCCGGCTCTCCTGCCTTACACATAACATGTTAGATCAGCCTCCGCCATAGTCCTGTGCTCATCTCTCTTCCTCTTTCCTTTCTCGTCATCACATCAAAACATCTTCAAAACTGCAGCCTTTTTGTTGGGATTATTAACAGGCTCATCATCTCATGTCATGGAGAAGTTTCTCTAAAGTAAAACAGACGTTTTATTTTTAATGTCTTACAGAGTGGATGACAATACCCATGAGTAAGAAGTCCATTCTCAAAGCAGATGCTCCCTCAGAAGCATTAGGTCAGTGGACAATAAAGGAAGGATTCACCAAAGATAGTTCCTGGCAGTGTGCTGGCCTGCTGGAATGGCAGTGCCAGGAAGGTCAGGAGATCAGTCTGCAGCAAGCAGTCCTCACCTACCGGAACCCCACATCTGGAGTTAGTGAACAGAACTATGATGAATCTGGGAAGGACTGCATTGTGAGCCCATCTCTTGTTCAAAATCAGGGGTTTCAACTGAGCAAAAAAGCCTTTGAATGTAGTGAGTGTGGGAAAGTCTTCTCTAAGAGTTCTACCCTCGGCAAACATCAGAAAATTCATACTGACAAACTGAACACAAGTCAGAAAATGCTTATTAAGGAGAAGCGATACGAATGTACAGAATGTGGGAAAGCGTTTCACCAGAGCACACACCTCATCCATCACCAAAGAATTCATACTGGTGAGAAACCCTACGAGTGTAAGGAATGTGGCAAGGCCTTCTCCGTGAGCTCCTCCCTTACTTACCACCAGAAAATTCATACTGGAGAGAAACCTTTTGAGTGCAACTTATGTGGAAAAGCTTTTATCCGGAACATACATCTCTCTCACCATCACAGAATACATACCGGAGAGAAGCCTTTCAAATGTAACATTTGTGAAAAGGCCTTTGTGTGCAGGGCACATCTTACCAAGCACCAGAATATTCACAGTGGTGAGAAACCCTACAAATGTAATGACTGTGGGAAAGCCTTTAATCAGAGCACAAGTTTCCTTCAGCATCAGAGAATTCACACTGGAGAGAAACCCTTTGAATGCAGTGAATGTGGGAAGGCCTTCAGGGTGAACTCATCCCTTACTGAACATCAGCGAATTCACACTGGGGAGAAACCTTATAAATGTAGTGAATGTGGAAAGGCTTTCAGGGATAATTCATCCTTTGCACGACATCGGAAAATTCATACTGGAGAGAAACCTTACAGATGTGGTCTGTGTGAGAAGGCCTTCAGGGACCAGTCAGCCCTTGCTCAGCATCAGAGAATTCATACTGGGGAAAAGCCTTACACGTGTAATATATGTGAGAAGGCCTTCAGTGACCACTCAGCCCTTACCCAGCATAAGAGAATTCATACGAGAGAGAAACCTTACAAGTGCAAGATCTGTGGGAAAGCCTTTATCCGAAGCACACACCTCACTCAGCACCAGAGGATTCACACGGGAGAGAAGCCGTATAAGTGTAATAACTGTGGGAAAGCATTCAACCAGACTGCAAACCTCATTCAGCATCAGAGGCATCATATTGGAGAAAAATGACATGAATGCCATTTGTATGGAAGAGCTTTGGAATGAGCAGAGTACTTATTGAATCTAAGAGAGCCCTTCTAGAGATGAGCTGTGAGATCTTGTGTCAAGATAGTCATTGTATTTCCTGAGAAACAAGCTTCACAGTGTCACAGGTATTGAGAATTTAAGAATGGCAAACACAGCTCATTGTTTAGTACTGCCTTAGTGGTATAGCAGCATTTTTTATTAGTCTGAATTACCAAATATCAAAACCAAAACAGAGCTTCATTAACAACATAAAAGCTGGTTTATCAAATTTACAATGTGCTAAGAGAATTGGAAAAATTAAGATTGAGAAAAAAGGAACAAAAAGGTAGGGAATGGTCTATAAGCATTTCATTCTTCTAGATTCTTCTATGTAAGAGAAGTTGCCACCTTTGGAGGAACCCTTTTCCCTCTTCACCCACACTCCTGCCACCCATTGTAAAGAAGGTGCAGTCATCCATATGTCAGTCCAGGAATCATTTAAATTATGCTTCCCATAATTCTGTTTCTGATCCTTTTTCAGATTTCCCAGGTCTGTCTGCTTAGCGGCTTCTTACCTGCATTCTCCTCTGGAACAATTCTTTTGAATGGTGTGACCTCCTGACTTTACAACTCCCAACTGTTAATATCACGTTCCTTATTCCCACTACCCTTGGGGAGTGTGACGGTCTGATCACATGAACAGTGTGAATCAGAACCAACACCCAAGATTCTGTGTTTCATCCAGCCCAGCATTCTAAACTTGGAATCTCTGGCTGGGGGCATTTTTTTGAGTTACCCAGTTCCTTGGGCCTCAGCTTGACTCTGGGCCTGGGAGGACATCTAAACAGGGACTTTGCTTGTACAGCCATTGCCCTCCAGCTCTTCTGCCCTATAGTTAGCCCTAGGGCTGGCTCAGCTACAGGTGTGATGACTCCAACCACCTAGTTGGTATCCCTGGCCACCTCCACTGCTGTGACTTAACCATTTCCCAGTGTGCAATTGACAGAGGTATGAGCCCTAAGGCCTCCCGTGGCTGGAGAGTCCTGTGTGTCCATGACATTAGAGTACAGTTAGTATTCCCACAATACTGAACTGCTGCATCCTGGTCCTTGCCCAGCTTTTGTCTAGGTTTTTGAAGGTATTAATTCTATGTTCGTGCAAAATCATGCTTTTGTATTAGAAAGTGGTCCTTTCCTCTCCTCCATCTGGACATTCAGCTACTTAAAGACTTATTCTTATGGTGATAACCTATTAAGTAATTCCATGGATCCTGAAGTGGACAAAGGTACCGTTGACATTCTCCTCCGATCTGCGCAGGCCTTGGTGAAAGGCGAAAGATTTATACGATCTGAAGAGAAACCAGGGTATTGCCCAGGCCTTGGTTTCTCCTTCTGTGCAGTGACTGCCTAGGCTGCTTTTAGGTTCTAAGAGAGACTTGGGCTTGGGAATGGTTCAGGCCCAAAAAGCCTAAGTGATACACTAGTTCCACAGGTACCATTTTCCCACTATTTTTAACCCCTTGGTGCTTTCAGTAGAAATCATAGAGATACAATAACATTTACAAATCTCCACATACACAGCCTCTGACCACTCTTCCCCTCCCCACTACAAGGAATGCAGGAACCTGCACTACTGCAGGCTGGAACACCAAATAAACCATCATTCTTGGAAGTGAAGTGGCAGGTTCCTGGTTTTTGGAAATGCTGTCTATCAAGTCAGGCCCCCAAATGCTACACCACTGCCCTAAGTTAAAGAGGGTATTCTATAGCATGTTGGATTCAGAGCCCAACTTCTCTAAATTTAACTTCCAGCTAATAAAGGCCACATATGTGGCAGGTATCTCCTAAGTGTCCAGCATCTCATACTTTCTCTCCCATGCATGTGAAGCAGCATTTCAACAGGTTCCTTGCTACTTACTGCCTGTGCTATGCGCTCTCACATGCATGTGCAGCCTCACACAGCTGACAACTCCAGATTGCACCATAAACTGCAACACTGTGCTCACTGTCACAGATAATCTGTCTTTAGGACTATCCACATGACCTGCCAGGTCCTAACTGAGAAGCACATTTCTCAGCTGAGTTTACTGTTCATTTTGTTAGGTGAAAGCCAGAGAGCCACTGCCACTTGACATGTGCCTCCAGTTGGGCCAGGGCCTCCTTCATCTCGGGGTCAGCCCCGGGAGTTATTCCTCCAGCAGAGTGGCTGCAGTCTCAAGGCCACCCACTGAGGTCACAGCCTTCTCTTCCTTGAGCACATCTCCTTCAGGCCTGGCTCTTCATAAAATCTGATCCTTGGGAGGCCTGTTCACTCAGCCCTGTCTAGGGAAGCAAAGAGTAAGTAAATGGCCTAGTAGATATGCCTGGGTCCACTTGAATGTATTTATGGTAATGGTCCTTGGTGGCAAAGGCTTGATTATATTCTACCATATGGTTAACCATTTGTTGTATGACCTTCTAGGCTAAGGGAGTCCTCACTGCCTGGGTGCTATTCTGTGCTTTTCTAATCTGAAGTAGCATAACAGTCTACCTGGGCAATCTGATCTGCCCCAGCATCACCTTTTGCTCAACCCCTAAATGTGTATGTTTGAGGACTCTGAAGTAAGAGTTCCTCAGCCATAATCTCTTCTGCCAGCCAACCTGCATGGTATTAGACAAAATTTTGGCAGTTACTGAGAAGACTTTTTCTCTGTCCCACCCTCAACCAGGTTCATCCCAAAGCACACGGGGATTGATAGGAAGAGCAGTTCTTCTGTACCTTGCTTTTCCAGCATACCCAACAATGTCTCTCAAGATGCCACATCTGTGTCTGTGGCAAAGGGAGAGTGGGACTTAGATGTGATGCCAGTCTCACCAGCTCTCATCTGGACCATAGGGAACCAGAGAAACAGATCCAGGACTCACCTCCTGTCAGAGCTTTCCCCACACCCAGCAAAACTGCCCAGTGGACAAACCCTTCCAAGTATCAATTCCATGCAGCCCAGAGCAGGGTTTGAGACCAGGTTCACAGCTAGACCTTGTTACATTTTCCCTGTTTGAGACTCCCATGAGCAGCACTGAAATTGCCTGCTCTTTGGGAAAAAAAACTAGTTCCAAACTACCCCTTTCTAATCCCTCTTGTCCTTCTCTCTTGTCAGGTCATCCTCAACTCCCCTCTTGACTTCCCTGTGTTCCTTCTCCTCATCTACCTAAGATGACCTAGCTTGGACATCAGCATGTCCCCAGGGTTTGCCTTCCTCTCCATTCAGGAACTGCTTTTCAATGATACTTTGACCTGCAGCACTCAGACTTCTGGGTTACTGTGCCTGAGCCTCAGAGTCTTGGAACAAAATAGCCCCCATCAGTGTGTCACCCCATATACCACAAACCACTAAACTTCAAAACCATGTTCTTTGTTTTTATGAAAATAGAATGAGAGAGGCAGCCAGTGTTCTAAGATGTGCAAGTTGTATTTTTGTTACCTGGTTATCTTAGTTAGACATCACTAAGACATGACCAGAAGCTGTGCTTCCAAGTGTTTTTATGTCTTTATTGCCAGTCTGGTTACCTGGCTCCCCACAATAATTATTCAAACCTACCTAGTCCAGAAACTATTTTTCAGAACCTGAAGAATTGTGTCCCCTGTCACTGGTAGTAGCACTTAACATTTGAGGGCATACCTTGTGCCAGGTACTGTTGTAAGTATTAATTGCATATGTTAATTCACTAAATCCTTTCACTACCATCCTCTTTTGTATTCTGTTATGAGCTGATCAACCCAGTGTAGCCAAAGGAAGAGACAGAAGCAGCTCAGAAAAACAAAATTTGGCACATTCACAAGTCTAGTGATAGGCATGGCACACCTTGCAAATCCACATGGGACAAACATCATTGGTCAGAGACAAAAGACAAGGCAGAGGGGAAAGCATGGGACCAGAACTTTTTTTACGGGGGTTTTGAGGGAAATACAAGGCAGGGCAGGGAGAAAGGTCTAGCATTGCTTTGTTTGAATAACAGTTAACTCCAAGATGTATAGAAGTGGTCCCTAGTTGCTTGATACCTGTCTCTAGGATGGCTAGGGCAGAGGAATATTGCTTTCTGGATGCAAAGGCCAGGTAGAGAAGTGTGAAGTTGGTTTGTTTCCATATTAATGACATCCATCTGATTGGCACTTTGCTACCTCTGAGAATCTACTAACTGGCTAGAACTATAGGGAAGTCTCTTTTCCAGCCAGACAGGATTGTTTTTTTGTTTTTGTTTTTTGAAGATGTCAAAGTTTCATATTATAGAGAAAATAAAATATGTATACAGTATGAATCCTCATTTGAAGATTTAGGAAAAGGTTAGCAATTTGTTGAAAGTCACAGAATTGGTAAAAGGTGAATCAAAGGCTGGACTCCAGGTGGTAAAGCTCCAGGGCAGAAATGCTTCCCCACTGCATTTGGCCGCCTCTTTGATGGTGCACTCCAGCCCACTAGAGACCCACTCGGCTCAAGCTGTTAGAGTGGAGCCAATGTGAGTGGGAGCTGTATGGCAAGTCACCAGTCTTGTAGCCATGCTTTTGAACATGTTTTTTCACATCACACACTTCTTTTTTCATTTGTTTTTATGAGGTTTTTTTTTGGGGGGGCAGAATCTCTATGTAGCCCAAGGTGGCCTTGAACTTGCAGTGTAGCCCAGATTGGCCTGCCTCAGCCTCCTGAGTGCTCACACCACACACTTCTTCCATAGGAAAGCCTTTCAGCCCTGGGGCTGAAAAATGGAACGAGTTCAGGATGTTCTTCCATCTTGAGAGTCTAGGAACCATGACTTCATACACCTATCTGAGCATGACAGCCTGGCCCTGTGACATCTCATGAGCACAGCCTGTGATAATCACAGCAGGTCCTGGACACAGGCCAATTGAGCACAGTACTCAGTGGTTTTATATGTATGTATTCACTGCCTTATAAACCTTAAATGGGAAAGACAGATATTATAAAATGAAACACAGATAACCAGCA